GATGTTTCCATTGTGGTATTCCTAGAGCTGGGAACAGAGAGACTCCTAGTCCCCCTGTCCTGCCCACTGCCCTCACTCACTGCTAGAATAGAATCCAGGAGCCCTGACTGCTAGAGCACCCACTCTCGTCTCCCTTACTGCTGTAGAGAAGCTTATGCTCTGATAGCCAAGGCCGACACCACATGTTACAAGAAAAGAGTCTCAATTTCCTTTGTGGAGTACGGACAGAAATGGTCAGGAAGGCAAGAGTGCTGCGGACAATGGAGGCGAACAGTAATTGCCCAGGCTTCTCCCGCCAGTTCCTGTCAGTACAGAGAATGGTGCATCCTGCTCAGGAAAGCAATGACCCAGTTCCCCAGCCGGGTCCCCTTCAGCCGCAGGAAGAGTTCATACAAGTTGATCTGCCACAGGCTCAGGGCTTCTAAGAGAGAGATCTGGGCCTTTTTGTACAGGGAGTGAGACTTGCTCCTCTGGTACCTGGCAAAGGAGAGAAACAGCTGCATTAATCCCTCAGGACACAGCCCAGCAGCAGAATAGCCCATCTTAGATCATGAAGACCAGGAGCCCCCCACCCTCAAGTGCCAGTCATCAGCCAGGATCCCAGTCTTGGAGTACAGTATCCTAACTCTGGGGGATCCCACCTGGCTGGCAGGTCAGGGTTTCCTGAGTTCAATATGCCCCACAAAGATCATTCTCTCCCAGAAAATCCAGGAGAGAGGAGAAAGCCTGCTCAACTACAAGGAGCTTGCAATCATAACTCCTGGGTTCGGTTTCCACAGCTGACTTGCCTTGGCCTTCCCTTGTCTATGCCTCAATCCTCTCATCTGGATAGTGGGGTGATAACAGCTCCCTTCCTCCCCGAAGGGCTATTATTCATTAGTGAGAGCATTTGACATTGCAGAGGGCTATCCAGATGCTAACTCTTATCACCAATAACAGTGCTAAGCATTCACCACATGGTTGCATTTACATAATCAGATCCCTAAGCAAAACAAGATTCGACTGGTCCCTAAAGAGACCGACGACTGCTAGCACTGCACTGCTCCACAACCTCTCTTCTAAGGCTCTCAAAAGTGCTGAAGCATATGCGGCACTTAGAAGTTAAGTCACACAATAGGTCAGTGGCAAAGGCAGGAACAGAACTGGGCAATCCTGGCTCTCCTGCTCTGATAAACAGTACTGCACCCCTCTCCAGAGAACACAAGTAAATGGAGCCTCATGACTCCCTCTCGAGGCAGAGACATAACTGTTATCCCTACTGTGCAGATCTGGTCGGTATCAAGCAGAGTGCCCTAGGGGTCAGTTCTGGGGCCAGTTTTGTTCAATATCTTTTCTAATGACATGGGTGAGGGGATGGATTGCCCCCTGAGCAACTTTTCAGATGACACTAAGCTAAGGGGAGAGGTAGATATGCTGGAGGGTAGGGATAGGGTCCAGAGTGATTTAGATACATTGAAGGGTTGGGCCAAAAGAAATGTGATTAGGTTTAACAAGGAGAAGTGGGACAGAAGAATCCCAAGAACTACAGGCTGGGGACTAACTGTCTAATCAGCAGTTTGGCAGAAAAGGACCTGGGGATTACACTGGATGAGAAGTTGGATGGGAGTCAACAGGGGTGCCCTTATAGCCATGAAGGCTAATGGCAAATTAGGGTGCATTAGGAGGAGCACTGCCAGCAGAGCTAGAGAAGTTATTATTCCCCTTTATTCGGCCATATCTGAAGTATTGCATCCAATTCTGGGGGCCCCATTACAGAAAGGATGTGGACGGATTGGAGGAAGTCCAATGGAGGGCAACAAAAATGATTAGGGGACTCGAGCACATGACTTATGAGGAGAGGCTGAGGGATTTGGACTTACTCAATCTGCAGAAGAGAGGAGTGAGGGGGGAACTACCTTAAGGGGGCTCCAAAGAGGATGGAGAGAAACTGTTCTCAGTAGTGACAGATGACAGAATGAGGAGAAATGGTCTCACATTGCAGTAGGAGAGGTCTAGGTTGGATATTAGGAAAAAATATTTTATTAGGGGGGCGGTGAAGCTCTGGAATGGGGTACCTAAGGAGCGTGTGGCATCTCCATCCCTAGAGGTTTTTTAGTTCTGGTTTGACAGAGCCCCGACTGGGATGATTTAGTTGGGGTTGGTCCTGCTTTGGGTAGGGGGTTGGACTTGATGACCTCCTGAGGTCTCTTCCAGCCCTATGAGTCTATGATTTTCACTTCATGTTCTATACTGAGACTGTGTGATGTCTCTGTTACACAGCTGCCTCACTCCACCTCCATGTGGATTAATTGATTCCTGTCTCTACTGCATGCACTTTGTAAAAGGCTACTTCACTACCCATGAGGATGGGAGGTCCTATACAAATACAGAGCAGCATTTAATATTATAAGAGGTGAGAGAGACCAATCACAAATGTGCTGCTCCTGTTCGGCTCCAGATCCAATTTCAGTGCCCCAATAAGCACCCATCTAAAGTAGCATTGGTCTCTGGAGTCCACTTCCAGGCATAGGTTAGTCCCTGCAGCACATGGCCTGGTCCATGTTGTACACACATTGCCTCTGGTTCTGGTTTGCATTGTGCTGCTGTAGAGCCAGCAGAGGGAGCCAGAGCAGAAATAAGGAACTATGAATGAGAGACATTTCCGTCTCCTTGAAATGTAACCCAGGGAAGGAAACTGTGTGGAGGCCTGCGGGCGGAAGGGGCAATATTTTTGGATGGAGAATGAGTTCATACTAGACCATAGAAAGGGGGGGGCAGAGTTGCCACCATCCAACAGTCATAAACAGGAACAAGAAGAAGGAGGCATTTTGCATATTCAGTCCTGAGCTGTCTATTCAGACCCTCCACTGGCAAGGCTCTCCTTCACTCTGAAGTGGAGAAGGACTGGATGAAAACTATGTGGCTCAGGCCCTGCCCTACAAACCCAGCTAAAAAGCAGCTACTCTCCCTGTTCAGTGAGGATGGGTGTCAAAGAGATAAAGCTCTGAAAAAGAACCTGCTCTTGGCTCATTACAACCTGTCCATAAGGACATGTGAGAGGGCTGCTGGTTCACTTTGGCCTTTGCAGTAGGCTACCAGGCATGCCAAGAGCAGCTGAGAGGATGGGTGCTGGTGGGGTAAAGGCACAGGGCTGGATGTATGTAGATCATGGAGTATAGTCCCAAATTCCACTACAAACGTTAGCTACGACTTTGGAGAACTCACACGGTATCTCAGAACCCACTTGCCTTGTGGAAAATGGGGGGAGGAAAGCAACCTGCTCCTTGTAGATGGAATCTAGACCTTTCAGTGACGGGTGTGTTTAGAATGGTTAGCGTGAAGGAGCTACAAGAGCTGCAAGAACATGCATGGTTCAATGAGCACAGGGTTCCCTAGCTTCACTGTGTGATTGTCAGTTCCTTGTAAGGGAAGGAAGTAGGACAGGATCACAATTATTTCTTCATAACCCAGCTGGTCTATCCAACAAGTTGCAGTCATATAAATTGCATGGACTTCAGAGACCAAGGCTCTCTGATGTAAGGGCTGAAGGATCAATCCCAAAGGCTTCCATAGTTCTTTGCTGATTCAGGCACCCAGCATTAAAATGATCACAGGCCAGTTTGCAGGAGAATTCAAGTGAGAGTGAAACCCAAACATTTCAGAACTTTGGGCCAGGTGTGTCCAAACTAGGCAGGGGAAAGGTTTGGCAGGGCTTCTTGCTCTAACTGGTGCAGAGAGCTCAGGTCCTTGTTCCTGTTCTTAGAGAGTTTAGTTAGACAAGACCATAGACCTGGTTACCAGCTGACAAACCAATGAGATGAGGCAGGAGGTTGGTCTAGTTGTGAGGGATGGGTTGAGCTTAGATTGCAGTTGGTAGGATAGGAAACACATTAGAGAGAGAGAAAAAAAACCCACATGCACATCCCCTAAGACACATGCATTAATTTCAGCATTTGCAATTTAACTTAACAGACACTGCAGCTAAAGCACCTCTTTGTAATAACCAGCCACACACCCACTGCTACATATTCAGAGATACTTTCACTGTCACAGACATTCATGCACTATCACTGGGCATATTTCCAACTTACATGTGTTCTCTATCTCACCCACAGTGAGAGATTTCTGCACTCCCTGTGTCACAAGGTGACCCTCTCCTGCAGTCATACGCACATCCCCTCTCACATAAACAAGCACACTCCATGGCTGGACTTTCAGACACATGCCAACCAGGAAGCCATTCTCTTTCACAAGCAGCCTCTCCCCAGGCCTTACCCTCCTGTGCTGACAAGACACTCTCTCAATGGAACCTGTTGGTAGTGCAGGCTCCTCAAACAGCCACTTTGTGCACAGTGGTGGAGGTGCCTCTGGCAAAGATGATCCATGGGATGGCCTGCAAGGGTCTGAAAGGCCTCTCCCTGACCGGGCCCCTTTTGTGCAGTCTGTTTCCCAACATCATCTCTTCAGCCTGGCCTAGCAGTGTAGGGAGGATCCCACAAGTCTGACCACACAGCACCTCTGCATGTCACTGCTGTTTGCAGGAAGCTCCACACAGAGCATGGCAGAAGTAAGGCCTATACCCCGGCTTTCTGGGGCCTGTGGCTTTGTTGTGGGCTCAGAGCAATCAGGCCCATATACGGAGCAAGTGGAAAGTTTCTGTTTGAGCCAGGAGTTGCCCAATGTCACAAGCAATTTGGACATAAACCAGCTGCTCCATGTGCAATGCTACAGCAGCACTGGCTCCAGCGGCAGAGATGGGGGCAAGCTTTGTCTGAATGTGTGAGGCAAGAGTGGTGAGTCTGAATGTGTGAGGCAAGGCAGGCTCCATCACCCCCATGACAATACAGGCCTAACTTCACAACAGCTGACCTTGAGCTGAATAGGAGGCAGTGGTAGAGACACTGGAGGAGCAGTGGAGTGGGCTTGCAAGGAACTAGTAGCACAGAGTGACAGATTATGCTCAGGGAGGGGAAAAACTAAAAATGGGGCTGGAGTGAAAAGGGTGGGCAGCAATGCATTTCTCTCTTCTCCGTGCAGGACTCTACTGTGACACCCTGCTTTATTTTCCTGTGCAACAATACAATACAAATACGTCATCAGCAACACGATGAGTTCTCAGGTAAGATTCCACAGCACCTTCTCCCCGAGGAGTTCAGAGGAGGGTTCACAGCATTATCTCTGTATCAGATGTGGGGAAAGTAAGGCAAGGAAAGCATTTGTCCAAAATGACACAATGACTCCATCGCACAGCTAGGAACAGAGCCCAGAAATCTGAGCCTGGCTTCCAGACCCTTGCTCTCAAAATTCCCTGCTCTAACCATTAGATTATACTCTTCCAGGAGACAATTCCCATCAATTTCACAGAAGCCAACAGGATTCTGTACCACTACTGAAAACCCTACTGGATTTTATTAATAATGATTTCTTCTCTAGGGGATTTGAATTATCCTGGAGAATTCTAGGGTGGGGATTCATTTCTCTTAAATGTTTTAAGATGGTTTAAAAGTGGAAGAGGGAGCCTAGAAAAGGTTCTCATGTTCTATTCAAGTCTATAGGATGTTTCCATTGTGGTATTCCTAGAGCTGGGAACAGAGAGACTCCTAGTCCCCCTGTCCTGCCCACTGCCCTCACTCACTGCTAGAATAGAATCCAGGAGCCCTGACTGCTAGAGCACCCACTCTCGTCTCCCTTACTGCTGTAGAGAAGCTTATGCTCTGATAGCCAAGGCCGACACCACATGTTACAAGAAAAGAGTCTCAATTTCCTTTGTGGAGTACGGACAGAAATGGTCAGGAAGGCAAGAGTGCTGCGGACAATGGAGGCGAACAGTAATTGCCCAGGCTTCTCCCGCCAGTTCCTGTCAGTACAGAGAATGGTGCATCCTGCTCAGGAAAGCAATGACCCAGTTCCCCAGCCGGGTCCCCTTCAGCCGCAGGAAGAGTTCATACAAGTTGATCTGCCACAGGCTCAGGGCTTCTAAGAGAGAGATCTGGGCCTTTTTGTACAGGGAGTGAGACTTGCTCCTCTGGTACCTGGCAAAGGAGAGAAACAGCTGCATTAATCCCTCAGGACACAGCCCAGCAGCAGAATAGCCCATCTTAGATCATGAAGACCAGGAGCCCCCCACCCTCAAGTGCCAGTCATCAGCCAGGATCCCAGTCTTGGAGTACAGTATCCTAACTCTGGGGGATCCCACCTGGCTGGCAGGTCAGGGTTTCCTGAGTTCAATATGCCCCACAAAGATCATTCTCTCCCAGAAAATCCAGGAGAGAGGAGAAAGCCTGCTCAACTACAAGGAGCTTGCAATCATAACTCCTGGGTTCGGTTTCCACAGCTGACTTGCCTTGGCCTTCCCTTGTCTATGCCTCAATCCTCTCATCTGGATAGTGGGGTGATAACAGCTCCCTTCCTCCCCGAAGGGCTATTATTCATTAGTGAGAGCATTTGACATTGCAGAGGGCTATCCAGATGCTAACTCTTATCACCAATAACAGTGCTAAGCATTCACCACATGGTTGCATTTACATAATCAGATCCCTAAGCAAAACAAGATTCGACTGGTCCCTAAAGAGACCGACGACTGCTAGCACTGCACTGCTCCACAACCTCTCTTCTAAGGCTCTCAAAAGTGCTGAAGCATATGCGGCACTTAGAAGTTAAGTCACACAATAGGTCAGTGGCAAAGGCAGGAACAGAACTGGGCAATCCTGGCTCTCCTGCTCTGATAAACAGTACTGCACCCCTCTCCAGAGAACACAAGTAAATGGAGCCTCATGACTCCCTCTCGAGGCAGAGACATAACTGTTATCCCTACTGTGCAGATGAGGAAATTGAGGCTTGAGGAAATGAGCAAGCCAATGTCAGAACCAGGGCTAGACTCTAGGCACCACACCCCCTACCCACATGATCATGCTGCTTAGACCTGCAGCTGGAAAGTTAGGGTTCTTTTTCCATCAGTCGTTTCTGGTGGGGACGTTAATCAGATCGGGGTGAATTATGATCTCAGAATAAAAAATTTAGTGCACCCCTCCTTTTCCTCCCCCCTTCTCACCCCATTTCCAGCTCCCTCCCTGTTTCTAGTTCTGTATGGCTCAAAATTCTTGTCCCTCTCCCATGGGGGTTGTGATGGGGAGAAAGAAGACAAGATTGATTAAAAAAGAAGAGGGTCTTTATAGACATGCTAACAAGGGGAAAAGGTTCAGGTAAGACAGGGCAGTTTTCGATATTCCAGAGCCACCGCTGTTTAAACTCTAGAGGATGAGAGGCAGGAGGTGCCTGGTGGCAGCCAGAGCTCCTCTCACAGAGACTAGGGACTCACGTGGAGACGGCTCGAATGCAGCAGCGAGACATGTTGAGGAAGGAGCTGGCACTGGCCCGTGTGCGTAGGGCTGACTCAATCCCCCTTAGCAAATCATTGGTCTTGAGCAGCAGCAGCATCTGGCGAGGGACGTTGTTGAGGAGCTGGTTGATCTGAGGTAGGTAAGTAGCAGCATTGGTCCGGATCTCCACGTCCTGAGCACCATCAGAGCAGAGAGGTAAGTGGGGGGAGAGAGGAGAGAGAGGTTAATAGAGCCCTTGGGAGTCTACATCCTGCCTCTTCTGCAGTGCATACTGGAGGAAGTGATTGCTTAGGAGATTGCTTCTGTGATCCAGAAGCTAATAGGCTCCAGGCTCCTACAGCTGCCTTTCTGCAGAGGCCTAGCTATACAAGCGACTGGGACAGAGCAGGTAGGGAGCAGTGTTGCCTGGAAGTTGTGCACTTATACAGCCGCTCAGGAGAGATTCAAATGCTGCCCAGCTGATTAGCAGAGTACCCACAGCGAGGTTTTGTGTTTCTGCTGGTTTTACACATTCGCGCATGCCTCAGTGCACATAAAAAATGTATTCCACACATAGATTTAAAACTCCACACATGGAGGGGAAAGATTAGAGGGAACATTGATGGGGAGCCAACCTCACTCACGAGAACCTGACTGAGTCTGTCCTAACCCACTCCTCAATTCACTCCCTTTGTTGCCTTCAAGTGGCTTCCAAGCCCGTAGCTAGCTGCAGCTCCCAGGTCAGGCACAAGGGGATGCTCAGTGCCCCCAACAACTGGGCAAGTTGCCTCTGCAAAGCTCTCAGTGCTTTTAGTCCCCACCCCCCACTCCTGTCTGAACAAAGCTCTCAGTGCTTTTAGTCCCCACCCCACACTCCTGTCTGAACAAGTGAGCCACAGCATGAGATGGAGACTTCCCCATACAGGGCTGGAAGCCTTTCAGAGGCAAGGGATTTGCTACTGTCACGAGTGTCTCTCCTCTTGGACTCCAGGTTTCAGGAGCACCCAGGCCTGCATATAGCTCATCGCAACCCCTGCTGCTTTCAACCAAAGAGTCATCTCATCTGCCCCCTGATGGAAACACTGATTGCAGCAGGAGAGGGCTGCAGGCACCAAGCAGAATTTACCTGGGTTTCTGGGAAGGATTCCCTGCACCCTCAAAACATATCAGATATACACCCAGCCCAGACATGTTACCGTTCTGCTCTAGCTAGGAGTTTATGCTTCATTGGCTAAGCAATAGCAGGGTGATCTTTTTTTGGTAGGAAAAAGCCAATTTGTCAAAACTGAAATTTTTCTACAGAAAATGGACGAGAAGGCTAAACTTGAGTGGAGAAGGTTCCCACCTCCGGGATGGACTCTGGTCAGAGAGAAACAACCCCAACCCAGAGCTGCCTAGTGCCTGGGGCTTAGAGCACTCATTTTGAGGCCGGAGAGTTGTGTACCAGTCCTGGTTCCAAGTCAGAAAGAACAGGAACTGGGAGATGGTTTTCCACATCCCCAGTGAGTGCCCTACCCACTGGGCAACTGGCTGTTCTTCTCTGCTTGTGCCTTTGTCACTAAAGAGCTCTGTCTCAATTCTGAACAGGAGAAGTTTTCAATTCTGTTTGCAGTACAGGAAAATTGTGTCCTGCCCAGCTGTAATCCTGAACAGACTGTGCCCAATGCCTGGCGTGAGAGAAGGGCTGTCCCTGACGTCAGATTCCCCAAGAGTCATATGAGGAATGTCCTGGGAAAGAGAAACCTTAAGATGAATCCTGGTGATTGCTTATAGCCAAACTCTTTGAAGGGGCGGGGGGTTTCTGAGCTACCAGAAAGAGGCTCTCCCTCCAAAAACAAACCAACCCAGTAACAGAGATCAATCCCATCTGAATATTCCCTCCTTGGCAAAGTCTGGGCCTGGACCAAGATGGCACAATGAGCCTAGAGGTATGCTGGCAGAACTGCATATGTAGGCGTCCAGAACATGACTTGCAGGAGGTACTGCAGATCAGGAATGAGGTACATGGCTGAGCCACAAGGGGGAAGCCCACCCACTTCTTGCCCTTGCTCTCCTGGCTCTTGCTAAAGCTGTCAGTCCTACTCAACAAGAATCCCAATGAATCCAGGGTGGTGTGTTGGATCATCACACACACACAGGCTTTTCCTGCATCCTTCAGCAGCTGTGGCATGAACCAGAAAATCCAGAAAAAGGTCACTGACGCATCTGAATGGTTCAGAACACAGCATGTCAAATACAGAATGCAGCAGAAACCAAGTTTTACATAGAATCAGGAGTATGTTTGAACATGGAAGGGGGAAGGGACAGTTCTAAAATAATTTTTCTCCACAGTAGGTGTGACTGGCGCTGTACATTTCCCCCATACTGGTATTGGGACTCTTCTCTCATGCACTTAAGACTTGGAGAACATAAAATACCTATGGTTCGGTGTGCACCTCCACCAGATCACACCAATTATGCACTTCATCCAGTATCCTATCTGTCACTGCTTGGTTCAGAAAATGATCTGTCTAATCTGGTGTCCTCTCTCTGACAGTGATCAAAGCCAAACACTTCAAAAGGCAGCTTAATACTCAAAGCACCTAAATGTTTAACCTTACCCCACGGGGTGAAATTCCTTCCTGACCCCAACTTATGCCTGAAGCACGAAGATCCTTATAATTTTATCCCAACAACTACCACTGGAGAGGATAGTCCTTCTTATACAAAATATCAAATCCTTTTTTGATTGTTTGTTATTCTTAAGATCTTTGCCTCATTAATATAATGTAGCAAGTAGTCCCACCAGTTGATTGCAAAAACCCTTATCTTTTAGGCTAAATGTTAGTGGGTAATTTGAAACATACTCAATAAAGACATGTGCCAGGTGACAACTGGTGGGATTCAACAGCTTGTGAGATGGCAATTCCTGTAAGAGCAGAAATTCACAGATCACAAAATTGTGTGTTTGAGATTATCATGGATGTGTTTTTAACCTGCGGTTCCATGAAAAGCTGGGGATTTGAGCATGGGCCTGGATAGCCACTGGATTTCCTGGCAACAAGTTAAAACAGCAACTGGCATCTTTGACCTTGTAATGGAGTAATGTCAGCCCTTTAGAACCTGAATAGAAACATGAGTGTTTTGGGACATGGTGGTGAACAAGTCCCAAATTTGATTTGGTGTAATGGGCCCATATTTCATTAGGTAAGTAATATTTATTCCTCCTTGCTTCTCAGGACATGGTGCCCTAGCATGCTTACTACATTACCATTCCCCTGGATGAGGATCCCACCCAGATCAGAATTAAATAAATCTGGTACATCTCAATCTTGCACAAAGTAAGAGTGTCCTCATCACAAAACAACCACATTATATCATCAGAGCCAGTGTTTTCTGACAAGAACGAAGACTAGAATAGCAGATGGTACATGAGATAAGACCTCTGGTAAGAAGAAAAGTAGAGGGTACTGTAACACAGGACTTAGGAGCATCATCAGAAAGCTCTGTGTTACATGGTGCCTACATTCACAATGTCTAGTTCTTGCTGCTGATTTTAACCTCTCTGTTTCACCCCAAAAACAAAAGACAGGACCTGCATTCCCTTTAAACAGAAACTCACCTTCCAATGCCAGAGGGGAGCTGTATGGTATTTGTGACCCATCAGAGCAAACCTTAACTCTGACCACAAAAATCAAGCACCGAGCCACAAAGACCAAGGAATTTCCACCACTTAATTTCACAATTTTAACAAATTCTTACCTGTATACCAGTCAGCCTAGATTTGTAAAGAACAAATCATGTCAAACCAACCTGATAATTTTCTTTGATAGGATAACAAATCTTGTGCTTAAGGGGAAAGCGGTAGATGTGGAATACCTAGATTTTAGTTCAGCATTTGATACAGTCTCGCATGACCTTCTTATTAATAAACTAGACAAATACAGTATAGAAAGGGCTACTATATGGGTATGTCTAGACTACGTGGCTCCGTCGATGGAGCCATGTAGATGAATTTACTAGACATAGGAAAATGAAGTGGCGATTTAAATAATCGCCGCTTCATTTACATCAAAATGGCCACTGCGCTGTGCCGATCGGCTGTTTGGCGGCACAGCGCGGTAGTCTGGACGCTCCACAGTCGACAGTGGAAGCCTTTGTTGACCGCTCCGGTAAACCTCATTCCATAAGGCATAACAGAGCGGTCGACAAAGGCTTCTATTGTCAACCGCGGAGCATCCAAACTACTGTACTGTGCCGCCAAACAACCGATCGGCACAGCGCAACGGCCATTTTGATGTAAATGAAGCGGCGATTATTTAAATCGCCACTTCATTTTCCTATGTCTAGTAAATTCATCTACATGGCTCCATCGACTGAGCCATGTAGTCTAGACATACCCTAAGATAGGTACATAATTGGTTGGATAATCATTCTCAGAAAGTAGCTATCAACAGTTCACAGTCATACTAGAAGGGCATAATAAGTGGATCTGCAGGGACCAATTGTGGGACCAGTTCTGTTCAATATCTTCATCAATTATTTAAATAATGGCATAGAGAGTATGCTTATAAAGTCTGCACTGCAGATGATACTGGGAAGGGTTGCCAGTGCTTTGTAAGATAAGGTCAAAATTCTGAATGATCTGGACAAACTAAAGAAATGGTCTGAGGTAAACAGGATGAAGTTCAATAAAGAGAAATGCAAAGTACTCCACTTAGGGAGTAACAATCAGTTTTACACATATAAAATGGGAAGCACCTGTCTAGTAAGGAGTATTGCACAAAGGGAGCTAAGGGTCATAGTTGACCACAAGTTTAATATGAGTCAACAGTGTGACCTTGCTGCAAATAAAGCAATCATGATTCTGGGATGCATTAACAGGAAGGTTGTAAGCAAGAGACAAGAAGTAATTCTTCCTCTCTATTCTGTACTGATTAGGCCTCAACTGGAGTATTGTGTCCACTTCGGGGCACCACATTTCAGGAAAGATTTGGTGAAAGGCCAAAGACAAGCAACAAAAATGATTAAAAGTCTAGAAAACATGACCTATAAGGGAAAGCTGAAAGAAATGGGATTTTTGGTTGGTTGGTTGGTTGTTTTTTCCTTTGGAAAAAAGAGGACTAAGAGGGGACATGATAGCAACTTTAAGGTACCTAAAAAGGGTGTTACAAGTAGGAGGGGAAAATTATTCTCTTTAATCTCTGATGATAGGACAAGAAGCAATGGGCTCAAATTGCAGCAAGGGAAGTTTAGGTTGGACATTAGGAAAACATTTTTAACTGTCAGGGTGGTTAAGCACTGGAATAAACTGCCTAAGGAGATTATGAAATCTCCATCACTGGCAATATTTAAGAGCAGGTTAGATAAACATCTATCATGCTTGATTGATCCACACTCACTAGGTGTGCAGGTTACACAGGTCCCAGGTTCTGTTCTGCCTGCAGGAACTTGGTCCTGCCATTAGGGCAGGGGACTGGACCTGATGACCTCTCCACTTCTAGTATTCTATGATATTATATCTGCCAGGTATTGCTTACCAAGCAATTCAAAGCCAGTATATTCTCTACCCTCGCCCTCCCCATACACTTTGCTACTACAATAACACAAGCCTCTTAAACCCAAATTAAAATAAGGTATATGACACAAACCCTGGCCCACCTATTACTGCCACACCATCACTTGCTTACCTCTACAAACAACATGGTTGCCCATCTGAGTAATGGGAGCAGATGTTGTGAGCAGTAGACAGAGGGAGATGAGTATAGAAGGTTTGGTGATGTATGGACAGAAAGGAGAGGAAGAACTTAACTGGAGATATCCTACATTTTTAGTGATTGGGTTGATGAAATTTATACTTCAGCAACCTTGACTTACCTCCCATACCAAACAACCTCTGTCACTTGCAAGGGTTTTTGATAAGCACGCATCAGTCTTGATAGCCATTCATATGACTAGCAATTAACACTAATATGTATTATCCTTCCCTGCTGAGCCCCAAAGGTTTCCTCTGCCAGAGCTAGTAATTTATTTAACCAAGAAAATCTTATGGGAAATTTGACTGACCCATGATATGAGTGAGAGTGAGAGACAGAGAGAGAGACAGAGAGAGAGAGAGAGAGAGACTAAATTCAGCCATTAAAGTGCACAGCAAAGGGATTCCAAGCTGTCGTTAGTCCAGCTCTCAATGCAGCCTCTCAATTAATATAAACTAATTCAGTGATTATAATGGGAAAAGACACCGCAGGAACATGGAGCACAAATAGGACGTACCTCACTGGCTGTGACAGGTGACCGGTCGATGCCCCTGTTGACAGAATCCCAGGACCTGGCAGTGAGCATACATGCAAAGAGTGGGTACAGGTCACCCGCCCCGAGCCTTCTGCTGTACTTCTGCACCCTCTTCATATCAGCTTTGATCAGGGACTGCCAGAGTCTGCAGTAGTCCAAGCGGAACTTCTGTGTTAGGACCTAGAGAAGGAGGGCAATGTTCCCCAAAAGAAATCAATCAACAGCACCAGGGCAGAGAGGTGAAAACAGATCCCACTCAGTGGGTACCTTTAACCACCTCCCTGTCTGATATTTCAAACTGCCAGGCATAAAATCCCATTAAAAAGTGGTAGGAGCTATAGGAGAAAGCCACAAGGGTGATCCGCAAGCCTGGGATGCCTCTTTAATTGACCAGGGCAATGGATATAGCATCAGCCTGCTGGCTCCCAGCATCCTCCATACTCACATACCTGGTAGAGCCCATGGTCCAGCAGTACAATGTGGGCCTTGCCGGTGGCTGGGCACTTCCTCACCAGCACATTGCCTGGGTGCGGGTCACAGTGTACAAAGCCGTTCACAAAGATCATTTCGCTGTACAACTTCCCCAGATTGCGAGAGATCTGAAAGGAGACAGGAGGCAGTCACAGCAAGGGAGAGGGCTGCCAGCTACTCCAAGGTCCAACAACTACGGGGGGGGGGAGAGTCTGCCCGCAGCATGTATGCCAGGGACTGATGACAACAGGGAGCAGTGGGGAGTAAGCTGCTGGCATGGACCCTGGGGTCTAGTGATTACAGGGAAAGGAGGAGCTAGCACATATTTTGGGGTCTGATGGCTAGGGGCATTCAGAAATAGGGAGGTGCCCATCCACCAGACAACTGAGGAGCGTGTGACAGGGTGCGGTCATAGATGACCCCTTGAGGGTGCTTCCAAGGGTGCTGACATGGCCACTGCCACTAGTCTTCCTGCTCTCTGGGGCTCCTCACTGCCTGGTCCTGCTGTGCCAGCTCTGCTGGGCTCCCCCA